GGGCACCCATTCTTCCTCAGGCATACAGCCGGGAGAGTCCTGCAGACTTGGGTGTGAGTCTGGTGCTGTGGCTCCCTAGGCGTGTGCCGTGTGCCGTGTGCCGTGTGCTGTGTGCCATGTGCCGAGTGGCTGCGGGCAGGTCCGTTCACCCCTGTGGCCTCAGTGTCCTCATCCCCCGGAGCCCGGCCCCAGCAGAGCTGGCCTCATGGGTCCCGGAGAAGATGGAGGTGATCTGCAGGAAGCGCGGCAGATGGCCCAGCGACCACCGCACCTGGCACCGAGCGAGCTAGGGGTCACCCAGCGGGCAGCTCTGCAGCTGTCAAGGCCTGTGGAAGGCAGCGCCTGCCCCCTCCTCTCCCGCCTCCTCCCCGGGAGCTACAGAGCCGGGTTTGGAGGTAAAGCCGTAAACAGGGCAGATGTGGCATCCATCTTTTTGACAGCACTGCCAGCCAGGTGATGGCTGAGCGGAGGAAGGCCCGGTTTATGAGGAAATAGGAGGAATTTACTGCTCGCTGCTCCCGGGGGCCAGGAGCTCGGAGCGGGAAGGCGGCTGCATGGTAGCTGGGGATGTGAGGACGATGCCGATCACCCAGCCTGTGATAACAGCAATAAGAGCAGCGGCTAATGCTTGTATAGCATTTATCACTTGTCGAGCTCTGCTCCAGCGCTTTGTATTGAATCCTCACAGCAACCCATTTTACAGATGAGGAAACTGAGGCATAGAGAAGTTAAAGACTTTCCCAAGGGCACAAGGTAATCAGTAGCAGAGCTGAGAGTTGAACCCAGGCTGTCTGACTCCAGAGATGTTTGCCTTGGGCCAGCGGATGTCCTGTCCCCAGGGCCCTCCTGGCTATTCCAGCCGGCTTTGCAGGGCCTTTCCACCTCCACATTCCCAAAGGAACCCGAGGGGAAGGGAAGGGACACCACGTTTGGAATTACCTACTGTGTGCCAGGCTGTGCCGCCCATTAGAGGAACTCACAGTTACTCAAGCCACCAGCCAGACGGCTTCCCCTCCAGGCCCTTCCCCTCATTGCTGCTTCTCACTTGTTCAACCAGCGGTTGCTAAGAGGCTGTGTGGCCAGCCCTGTGCTGGGCTTGGGGATGGGGCCAGACCTGCCCCGGAGCTCCCCCTGCAGGTGGGGGACAATGTGACCTTGCAGACAGGTGGGGTACGCTGGGCCTCCCAGTAGTCAGAGCCGTGGGCCTCCTGGGAGGAACTAACAGTGAGGCCAGAGGGGGCAGGACCAGGGGCCTCTTGGAGGGGATGGGGAGTGCTGGGGACTCGCACCTTTACACTGAGGCCAGAAGTCCTCACTGAGAGGTGAGACTTGAGCAAAGACCTAAAGGCATGAGCGAGTGAGGCATGTGGAGACCTGGGGAAGATGGTGCCAGGCAGAAGACACAGCTTGTGCAAAGGCCCTGAGGTAGGCTCCTGCCTGGCAGGTTAGGGGGCAGTGAGGAGGCCCCTGCGGGTGAAGAGAGAACAGCAGGTAGATTGGGGGGCGGGCGGCAGATTGTGTGGGCCTTGTAGACAGTTTGTAAGGATTCTGTCTCATACAGACTGAGAACAGGCCATTGCGGGGTTTGAAGGAGGGCGGGGTTAATATGAATGACCATATGCTTGTTTGAATGTCATGCTAATGGTGTGTTACACATATTTTGTGTGTTTATTTGTACATTGTGTACACAGACATGCATACAGATGTGTTCAGATGCGTGCTGGTTTGTGTGTTGCTAGTCTATATGTGTAGATATGAAAGCATGTGGGGGTATATCTGGTTGTTTTTGTGTCCTGTGTGAGCATCATGGGTGTGTGTGTGTGTGTGTGTGTGTGTGTGTGTGTGTGTGTGTGTGTGTGTAACTCAGGAGGGTTGTGCTGGGCGGGTGAGTTGTGGAGAGGTGAGGGGGAGTCAAGGAGGAGCCCTTATTATTTCAACCTTGAAAACACATTTCAATTACAATTTACAACCTGCAGACAAAGGCTGCAGTCACCGTAGTAACCACAGCTGTGGGGATTGAGGGAGAAATCCTCTCCGCTGGTTCCCTGGCTGGCTGTCAGCCGCGGAGGAGCCAAGTGCATCTCCAGCTCATTGTGCCCCGGGACACAATTAGGACATCTTCAAACTGTTGCTGCTGTCACTGCTGCTGTATGTCTGGGATTTATCTCTTCTACTAACTCGCAGAATTGTGTCTTGCCTCCTCCCAGAACCGCGGCGCCCCTGCCTGAGCCTGGGGCTCCCACCCCCCGTGAGAGGGGATTTTCTGACCCCTTTCCCTCCACGGCCACCTACCTCCTAGCCCTGCAGACAAGCCTTACCTCCCAGCCAGGCCTGGCCTGACAGTTGGCACAGGGCCTGGGCCCCAGAAGGGGGAAGAGGCAGGTCAGGGAGAAGGGGAGGGGCAGTTCAGGTAGACAAACTCTTTTGGAACCAGAGCGATCTGGGTTCAAATCCCAGCCAGGCCAACCCCCAGGGATGTATGAACACCTACTGGGTGCCACCTGCAAACCCCGGTTCCCTCCTCCGGAGGGGGCCGTGCAGTCTCCCACCCCAGCTGAGCCCCGGGAAGAGCGCATGGAAGGCTGGGGAGGGCTCATTAGCTGAGGAGCCGGGCTGGGGGGAGAGCCGGCCGGTTATGGGCACAGCTTGGACGGAGCACCTGGTCCTGTGTGACTGTGTGTGATTCCTGCACCCCCACCAACCGCGAGCACCTGGGCTCTGTCCCTGGGCTTCCTCGGGGTTGGAGGGGTGTGTGTGTGTGTGTGTGTGTAGGGCTCGCTCAGGCCTGCTGCGCTCTCGAAGGTAAAGGTCCTTTGCAGGCCACCTCACTGCACCTGTTTTCTCATCTGTACTTGGGGCTAGACTTGAGCAGAAGCCAAGGATGTGAAAGTGTGCTGAGAAGTTTCTAGAAGTCCCTGGCAGCTTTGGGGTGGAGATTTGGGGGGGCCCACAGCAGCCAGGCAGAGACAGGCTCCCCAGTGTGAGGTGCCACGTGGGGAATGGCTGCTTCAGCGGGAAGCTGAGGAGGGGCCCCTGGGGAGACGGGAGAGCAGAGCTGAGGGCCGCTGGGGTCCATTGGCCAGTGCTCGTGGCCTTGGGAGGGCAGCCTCCTTTCTGTGAGGCCGCAGCCTCCTCCCCCGCCTCCTCGTTAAGCATTCAGTCTCTTGTCCCTTTGAACCGGGAGGGAGCTTCGGGAGCTGAGTTTTACCTCCTTCAGGCTGCAGAGGGCAGGCCCCGGGGCTGAGTGGGGTCCAGCCCCCTCTGCCGCCCTCTGAGGACAGGATTGTTCCTTGCATTTTTCTCCCAGCTCCGCTTTTAGCAGCTTGTGATCAGAGGCCTCGGACAGAGGCAGGCTGCGCTGCGGAAGCTGGGAGGTTTGCCTTTCACGTCCATCCTGTCTCTGTTCGTGCCTTGGCCTAGAAATAGCTTTGCCTGTTAGCAACGCTCTGCTGTGCGGAGCCTGAGGCAGGCGGGGCCTCCACATCCTTGTACCTGGAGTTTAACAAACTTCTGTGGCACTTGGCAAGCACCAGGCCTCCATGCCGCTGTGAATATTAGACCATTAGTCCCCACAGGGTCCCGATCCTGGCCCGGAACTGAAGCCGAGAGACGGAGTGATGGGTTCAAGGTCACACAGCTAGAGGCATGGGCGGAGCTGGGGTTTCAGTCCAGACAGTCTGGTGCCCATGCAGTGCAGCGTGGCGGGTGGTGAGGGGCTTAGCTGACTGCCAGGGCCAGGGCGGCAGCCTCGGGCCGCCCATCTCCAGCCCCGAGGCCACACCGTAGAGTGGCGGGCTCTGTCTGGAGCAAACTGCCCCCGTAGAGCCACTGGACATCTGCCCCAAACTGTCCAGTCTGAGTAATGACTCTTGGCTCTGACCCCGAGGTGTGGGAAACGGGAGCCAGGCTCGCCCTGGGTCCCGGGGTCTCGGCGGCGGAGGCAGGGGTAGGAGCCCTGGCGGGCAGGCGGGGTGACCTCACTGTGTGAAAACGCAGGGCCCCCTCCCCCGGGGTGAGCTGGGGTCCTGGGCCTGAGGTCAAGTGCAGTCTGGGGTGGAGGCGGGGAGGGGCTGGAGCTGGGAGTGCTCATCCTGTCCCCGTGAGGCTGGCGCTGGACCTGCGGCCGCCTCTCTGGGCTTCAGTTTCCTTATCTATAAATGACAGAATTGGAGCAGATGATCCCACGGGCCTGCCACCCAGCACCGCGATCCCGTGGTTTCTGGCTGCCACTCAGCAGTCCCTGGGGCTCTGTCCTGAGCCAGGCTGAGAAGGGTGGCCATCCGGGTGGGGATTGAGCCTCTGGGTGTGGGGATTGGATGGTGGAGCAGACCACAGGCAGCAGGGTGCCCCCGGCACCCATGTCTGTCTCCGGTGTGGGCGGAGGGGGATGGACACAGTGACTTCAGAGCTCCCAGGGGTCAGGGCTGGTGCTGACCCGCCCAACCTGGCTCCCACACAACGGATCCTGGAGGCTCAGGCGGGTGGCTCCTGGGGCTGGGCACAGACGCAGCTGCCCGCCCCGCTACCCGCGGGGAAGTGCCTGGGAAGGTGTGCCAGGCCCTCCAGCAGGTGGCATGGGTGGGGGTGGCTCATGAGGTTCATTCCTTGTCCTGGCCTTGAGGGAGGAGGCTGCGGCCATGCTGTGCGCAGGAGCTGTGGCCTCAGGAGGGGAACCCGGCTTCCGTGGTGGTCTGTCCATGCTGTCCCTCCACCCTGCCCCGTGTCCTCACCTCGAAGTCCCTGACCCACCCCTGCCCTGGCTGTTCTGGGGCCCCGGGGCACAGGGTCCAGGGGTACAGTGGGGAGAACAGCAGGCCCTCCCCTTCACCCCTCGGGGCCCCCAGCTGCCTCCACCAGACCGATTCCTGGGGAGCAGAGCAAGCAGTGGGCTAGGAGCCAGGAGAGCTGGGCCACCTGGACACTGCGCACCTCTGCTTCCCACTGCGCGGCCTGCGAGGGTGGCGGGCGTGGCGGGCACCCACTCCGGTGTTTGGTTGCAGACCGCGAGCGCATTGGGCAGGATTCAGCGTACGAGCAGGAGGGGAAGGTGCAGTTTGTGATCGACGCCGTGTACGCCATGGGCCACGCGCTGCACGCGATGCACCGGGACCTGTGTCCGGGCCGCGTGGGGCTCTGCCCACGCATGGACCCCGTGGACGG